TTTAACAGAGACTGGAATCATTAAAACAAAGACAAAAATTCTAGAGTTGAAGAATACAATGAATAAAATGAAAAATGCAATGGAAGCATTAATAGCAAAATTGATCAAGCAGAAGAAAGAATCTATGAACTCAAAGACAAGTTTTGAAATTATAAAGTCAGAGGAGAAAAAAATAAAAAGAAAGGAAAACTGTTAGATTTATGGGACAGTATCAAGCAAGCGAACATTTTTATTATAGAAGTTCAAACAGGAGAAGAAATTGAGAAAGAGACAGGAAGCTTGTTTAATAAAATAATAGCAGAAAACTTTTCAAATCTAGGAAAAAATATAAACATCCAGGTACAGAAAGATCAAACATCATCAATCAGATTCAACCCAAAGAAGACTACACCAAGACATATTTTAATCAAACTGAAAAATCAAAAACAAAGACAATCTTGAAAGCAGCAAAAGAAAAGAAGATCCTCGCATGCAAGGGAAACTGTATAAAGCTATCAGCGGATTTCTGAACAGGCAGTTAATAGGCCAGGAGACTATGGAATAATATATTCAAAGTACTGAAAGACAAACAAAAAACTATCAATAAAAAATAATTTACCCAACAGAGCTGTCCATCAGAAATGAAAGAGAGATAAGGACTTTCCCAGACAAGCAAAAGTTGAGAATAGTCATTACAGCTAGTCCCGTATTACAAAAATTCTAAAGCGAGTTCTCAGCCTAAAATAAAAGAACACTAATTAGTAACATAAAAACATATGCAAGTATAAAACTCACTGGTAAAGTAAGTACATAGTCAAATTCAGAATATCCTAATATGGTAAAGTTAGTTATATCTCTGCTATAAAGGTAAAACACAAAAAATACTAAAAAATAATTATAGCTAAATTGTTAATGGATACATGATATAAAAAGATGTAAATTGTAAGGTCAAAAACATATAATGTGGGGGGGGAGTAAAAGTGTAATGTTTTTGTATGCAATTCAAGTTAATTTGCTACCACATTGAAGCAGAATGTTATAACTACAAGATGTTTTATTTCAGCCTCATAGTCACCAGGAAGCAAAAATCTACAGAAGTTACACAAAAGATAAAGAGAAAGGAATCAAAGCATACCACTGCTGAAAATCATCTAATCACAAAGACAACCAGAAAACAATTTTTAAAATGAAAGTAGTAAGTCCTTACCTATTGATAATTACCTTGAATGTAAATAAATTAAATTCTCCAATCAAAAGACATAAGGAAAAAGATATTCCATGAAATGGAAACCAAAAGAGAGCAGGAAGAGCTATGCTTATATCAGACAAAATAGGCTTTAAGTCAAAACTGTAAAAAAGAAGCAAAAAAGGTTATTACATAATTATAAATGGGTCATCTCATCAAGAGGATATAATGCTTGTAAATATATATGCACCCAACATCAAGGCACCTAAATATATAGAGCAATTATTAAATAATCTGAAGGGATAGATAGACTGCAATCTAATAATGGCAGGGACCTTAAGTACCCTGTTTTCAACAATTGATAGACCATGCCCCCCCCCCAAAAAAATCAATAAGGAACATCAGACTTGAACTACACTTTAGAACAAATAGACCTAATAAAAATATGCAGAACATTCCACCCAACAGCAGCAGAATACACATTCTTCTCAAGTGCACATGAAATATTTTCCAGAATAGATCACGTCTTACACTTCATAAGTAGTATTAATAAATTAAGAAGATTGAATTCTCACAGTGGTATAAACTGAGAAATGAACAACAGGAAAAAACCTGAAAAATCCACACATATATAAAAATGAAACAAACCAGTCTTGAACAAAATGGTTTAAAGAAGAAATCAAAGGGAAGTTAAAAAAAAATCTTGATGTGAGAAAAAATGAAACAACATTCCTAAACTTATGAAATGCAGCAAAAGTGGTATTAAGAGGGAAATTTATAGCATAAATGCCTACATTTAAAAAAAGAAAGATATCAAATAAACATGTTATATGTCAAGAAACTAGGAAAAGAAGACAAACTAATTCCAAAGTTAGTAGAAGGAAGGAAATAACAAAGATTGGAATAGAAATAAATGAAATAAAGATTAGAAAAAACAATGAAAATAATTGGTAAGACTAAGGGCTGATGTTTTGAAAAGATAAAATTGACAAACTTTCAGCTAAACAAACTCAAAGAAAAGATACAACCTTCAAATAAATAAGTTTAAAAAGTTAGTGGAAAAATGGAATTAAAAGGTAATACAAATCTTTCCATGAAATTTTTGGTGACCGTTTATATTTGCAAACTGTACATCTCCTTACACATTAGCTTAATTATTTTACAATGTACTCATATGTCGAAACTTCACATTGTATACCATAAATGTACACACTTTTCATTTGTCAATTTTACCTTTATAATCTTAATACAGCTAGAAAAAAAAGGAGCCCAAGTTTCATGCAATCTCCATGCTGCACATTTCTCAAAGTAAAAATTACAAAACATGTCAAACTACCATGAACAAGTTTTAAAATATGTGATAAAGATAGGAATAAATATCTAAAAGTCTGATAGTAGAATTATCTAAGAATTACAAGAAATTAAGTACATTTAAACTATTTTAAGGTTGCTAGAATCATGAACTAAAGGATTAAACCCATAGTACTATGACGGAGTTTGAGTTTGGATGTATTGTCCTCCTCCCAAAAGTCATGTGGAAATCTGATCCCCAATGTGGCAGTGTTGAGAGCAGTTTGGGTCATGGGGGCAGATCCCTCATGAGTGGACTAATGTTCTCCCTGGGTGGGGAGATAGTGAGTTCTCACTCTATTAGTTCCCGCAAGAGCTGGTTGTTTAAAAGACCCTGGCACCTTCCCTCTTTCTCTCTATCTTGCTTCATCTCACCATGTGATCTGCTTGTACCTGCGAGCTGCCTGCTGCTTTCTGCCATGAGTAGAAGTAGCGTGAGGCCCGTGCCAGATGCTGCTGTCCTAGAATCATAAGCCAAATAAACCTCTGTTCTTTATAAATCACCCAGTCTCAGGTATTCTGTTACAGTAACACAAAATGGACTAATACAAACTAAAACACTGTAAAGAACAAAATGTCAAATTTGAAAAGGGATAATAATAAACATTTATTTTTTGAGTACTGAGAGTACTGAATGTGTTTTAAGCATTTACACAAATGATTTTACCTAATTATCAAACAACACTACATATAAAGGACAATATCTATTACAATTTTATACATGAAGAAACACATAATATTCAGTAGTTGTTTCTAAAAGAAAATAAATTGACTGGGAATGGGTATGAGAGAACCTTCTGGAGTGATGAAAATATTCTGTATTGTGATAGGGATTTGGATAACTTGGATGAATGCATTTATCAAACTGAAGAAACTGTGTGCATAAAATCTGTGCATTTCACTGTATATAACTTTTGCTTCAATAAATAGTTCCTATAAAAGCTAGAAGAAAAAGTCAAATAAACATATAGAAAATAGGGAAAGTCTAAACACAAACTTTTAGAAAAACTACAAATTAACAGTGAATTTATGGAAAGATCAATTATTTTACAAATTTACGTTAAATTAATAACAATACCTTTCCCCCACAAATTGATTCTCTCATATATTGTTGGTGGATGTGTAAATTGATAGAGCCTTACTGGAAAGAAATTTAAGAGTATTTAACAAATATCTAATGTTCATAACCTAAAATGTATAATCCTAGATTTACAAATTTATCCTTCAGATAATCTAGTAGAAGTGCCTAAATATGCTTATAAAACAACATCTTTTTAAGCATTGCTTTTATAATATGTTTTCAGAAACCACCTTAATGTTTACCAGTGGTGAAACTGATTAAAATACATTATGATAGTACTTAATGCCACTGAACTGTATCCTTAAAAATAGTTAAAATGATCAGTTTTATGTTACATATATTTACCATAATAGAAGAAACCACATGTTATGATTTATCTGTAATGTAGAATATTATACAACCATTTAAAATAGTGTAATTGATCTGTAGACAGATTTTAAAATATTTTATGATAGTTTGTCAATAGGTTTACTCCTAAATATCTATATATTTACATGTATGCACAAGTGTTTATATAACAATAGAAAAATATATGGAGAGCTACATGCTAAGTTTTTAACAATGGTTATCACTTATAGTGTTAGCTTATAGAAAGGACTTTAGCTTTTTACTTTATATACCTCTAAATTGTTCTAATTTATAAAAGTGAGTGTGTGATTTTTTAAAATTCAAATACAGACTTCAAACCATATTACCACTTTTTCAAAAAGTTTGTGAATAAAAGAAGAAACACTGTTTATAAATCTTCTAGAGGCTGCAACAAACACAGAACTCTAGATGTGGCGAAACAAAGACTAATCAATACGGGGGTGTTAGATTGGCCTGTGTATACAAAATATGTCACTAAAAATGAGTGAAATCACAATAAGTTTTTATGTGACTTTGTTTTAATTCTAACTTGGTAACAGTGACTCAGAATATATGCAATTGCATATTTGAGGTGGAAACAGGATGATTAATGTAAGAGGCAGGGCTGGGGTATAAACTGTCCAAGCAGAGAACACTTGGACAAAGTAGTGGACACAATTCTCTTTATGGAGCAGACCTGCAAAATCACTAACCTTGGGTTCATGCACTCTCCACCCCAAGACTCCAATTTCTCTTATCCCATCCTATTTCCTCTTATAAAAAGTAAAAGCACACTTTGACCTGTTCCCTAAAGAACCAAGAGGAATCAGGTTCAGGAGTGGAACCCCTTCCCATTCCTGTGTCTATGTTGGTTCTCCTGATTGGTTTCTTCAGGGCTGGTGCCAACTTCACTTCAAAGCAGATGAAGGAATAAAATCATGGAGAAAAACACCTGGGTGAGGTGTACTGGAAAGCTGACTCCCCAGCATCAGTGAAGAATATGTTGAGTCTGAGGCTTGGATTCATGGATGGTTCTCAGCAGACTCTTCCATTACTTTACATAGCATCTTCGTAGTCCATGTCTGTAATATTTGTCTTCCTCAGCCTAGAATAGATGTCTAAGCCGACCTGGAAGCAAAGGTACATTGATAGGACCACAGCAGAGAAGACAAGTAGAACATGCATTCCACTGGTCCTCTTCTTAATTAGCCCAGATGCAGCCTGTCATGGTGTATCATGCAGCACATAAATTAGAGCCTCTTGGAAGACTGTGGACCTAGACCAGCATTTTTAAAGGGCCTGCAGCCCACTGGTGGGCTACAGAGGTGTTCCTGATGAGCTTCGAACTGATCCAAACATATAAGGCCTTTCTTCCCTTATTATTATGGGCCATTATTAGGCAGTCCCACAGGATGTCATTTTCTAAGGATGTCAGAATTTTGTATTCATAAACCAAATTTAGTCTTAGTTTACCAAGGACTTGAATCCCATCCTGAGATCTCTAGCTGCCACACTCCACTAGACAAAATTACAAAGCACCTACTGTCATTGCACACATGCGGGGTTGGAATTCCTGCAACTTTTAGAAGGTATTTTTTGTATTATCAGTGATATCTTGAATTGTTCAAGGTTTACAAATTACTGATTTTTCATGACACAAATCACCATTAGCTTAGCTTCACTCAATATTGATTTAGTTTGCTACAGATTACTTTGTTAACCTTACGGCACAAAGTGATGGATGTATGGTTTAACAGTGTCTTAGGAAGAAGATTTTTAAATAAATAGAATTTTTAGAGTAGATACACACTGTGGTTTAACTTCGAATTATCCGTATGCTCATTACTAAAGTAAATGTATAAGTAAGCCTACAAAATTCCTTGTATACTAACACTTTGGTATAACTAAGTGCTTTTACTTCTATTCTGTTGGAAGATAAGGGAGGAGGTATATCATGGGATCTTCTGCTCTTCCTAAGGGGCTATAATCAGATGAGTGGATATGGAAAATGTGGTATATCTACACAATGGAATACTACTCTGCTATAAAAAAGAATGAAATATTGCCATTTGCAACAACGTGGATGGACCTAGAAAGAATTATATTAAGTGAAACAAGTCAGGCACAGAAAGAGAAATACCACATGTTCTCACTTATTTGTGGAAGCTAAAAATAAATAAATAACTACAAAATTACCTGCAGGGGGGAGGGAAGAAGACACAACAATTACAATTCCTTGAAGTTGATACGACAAGTGAACAGAAAGGAGATTGTTGGGAGGGAGGGGGGAGAGGGAGGGAGGTTTCGGTAACTGGCCACAATGATCAACCATATTGTATATTGACAAAATAAAATAAAATTTAATAAATAAATAAATAAATAATGAGACACCAACATACTGACAAAATAAAAAAAAAAAAAAAAAAAAAGAAGAAGTTTGAGAATCAGTCCGTAGAGTAAAGAAAAAAAGAGCACGAAGGAAAGAACAATACCGACTCTCACTTGATTCTCCAGATGTGTCCTCGGGGGTTTTACTGTGAGGAAAAAGGTAAGTGCTGTGAGATTCTAGTAACATTGAATGTCCTTCACTAAACTCATGCTAATAAAGATTTCTTTCTCTTCCATCTATTTCCCATGGATTGATTTTCGCTAATATTTTGTTTTGCTTTTCTCTCACAAATATGATTCCTTTGCTCTCTGAGAGGTAAGTAGGCCCCTCTTGGCATAACAGAGGCCTTTATACCTCTCAGCTTTTCTGGGCCCACCATGTGTAGGATGGGACAGCAGCAGCAACCAGGCTGTTGTGATGGGGTGGTACAGGAGTGTGCAGGGCTACTCAGAGAAGGCAGGTGGAAGCCACCATCTCCAGTGCTGCTATATGACTGGGGAGTGAGCATAGAGTAAGCCAAATTAGCATCAGCACTGGGCGTCACTGGAGGCAGTTTCCAGACCAAAGGTCAGTCTTCGAATAGGCACAGCAATGCTTACATTCAGCTCCAGGGGCAGAAGCAGCCATTCTGAAGAATGCTGCCATACTGCCATGCACAGCCACTGATTGTCATCTTGGTTCCAGGAAAGTCAAAAGTCAAGAACAGATTCAACCCCCTCCCCCCCGCCACGTCTCACCTGCTGCTGATTTCTGTTCCTGCTGGATACAGTAAACCAATGAATAAACTCCATCTCTGCTTACAACATTCACTTCAAGAAAAGAAAGGAGACATCATGACATAGTCCCTTCTTCCTGCCCTTTAACTTACTCCATACCTACCACCTATCACAGCCATGAGCAGAGATAAGTCATTTATTTGTAGAGGAGGCTGGGGCACTGCAGGGGCAGGTTTGGCTAGCAGATGTCACCCCATTGCCCCTTCCCCAGCTTGCTCTACCCACTTTGGCCCGGGTCATTTGGGAAGCCTCACCATTTTCATATACAGGCTCTAGCTGCACTGGGGCTGGTGAGTTGAGGTAGCTGGATTCTTGGGGTTTAGACCTGGGAGGGGTCCTGCAAACACAGAAACACATGTTATCTATCTGGGAGAGCATCCCAGATATCCCAGACATCACTACCTGAGATTTAAGACACTGAAGAAGACAAGCTTGTTGGAAAGGGTCCTGAGCTGAATGCTAATTCACAGGAAAATTAGCAACTGGAAGGCAGAACTGCATGTTACAAGCCACAGCCCCATACATGAACTGAGTGGGGCATTACAAGAATACACTACAGGGTGTCTGACTGGCTCACTGTGGTATTGCCCATATGCAGAATATGGCCATTCACATCATAGGTGTTCCATAAATATTAAATAAAGAAATATTGATGCATCCCAAATGGAAAATAGGTGGCTGGGAAGAATAAGCAACTTGAGGAAGGGGCAGGAAAAAATGGTCATAAGCATGCACTGAAAGAGTGCTACTCTGATTTGGAAAAAAATATCTTCATACTGTTAGCATAAATGATGATGCACAATAAAAATATATCAGCTAAAATTGGTATCTCTAGGTGGAAGTATATTTAAAACCTTTTCCTTTTCTAAACGTCTAATGCATTTCATCATAATTTTTCCATATCTTACTCTCTGTCTGGCATTCCAGAAATATGTCTATATCTTACCTACCCTAAAAGACTTTTAAGACTCTCAAGATCTTTTCATATTTTTATGCCTCTCAGCACTCAGCAGAATGACTTACAGACCCTCAGATATTGACTAGTCCTGGTCAAAGCAATGTAACTTTCTTATTCTGCAGATGTATTGAAGGGGATCAATAGGAAAAATGATAAAATGATTAAAGTAATTAGTTAACATATGAAATCTAAAAGAAGAGAAAGAGCAAATGAAAGTTCAAAGTTGGCAGTGGGAGAACTTGGGGGTGAGTTGTGGGTATGATAAGACAGGAAAAAAACTCATGAGAGGATAATTCAAATTTTTTAAAATAAGTGTTTCTACATTTATCAGCACATATGGAAAAAGCAGAGGCCTCACCTGGGTGGATCTCTGGATGAACACCTTCCTGCAAGTCAAACAAATGAGCATGCATGTCAGCAGAAGAACCCTCCTTCTCAGTACTTTCACATAGCCCTCGGGTGGGGAGGCCACTGTGTGTAGGGAGCACATCCTGGCAATCATCCACAGAATCTTCGTTCTGCAGATGAGGAGGCTTGGGTCCAGAATAGTTAAGCCAGCTGTCCAAAGCATATCAGCACCCAGGCTAGGTTGTAAATGCAAGTCTCTAAACCCTCCTGTCTATTATGTCTTGTTTTTGGTTTCACAACCACACCACCCAATCCTGTGGTGACAAAAGTCCTCCAAGGCAGACACTGTCACAGCCATGTTGTAGTTGGGGTGAGAAGCCTAGAGATGCCAGAATAGCTTGGAATTTAAATGAGAATCTCACGTTGTCCTCTTTTGCCCCATCTCCAAATTGCTCAATGGAGAACAAGGGGCCAAGGTTAAACATATAAATAAACATGTATTTACCAACTATGATCAAATTTGAAGATAAATTATTTGAAACTCATAATAGAAGGGAACAGTTGTAGGCTGTGTGGCCAGGGGAAGCCTCTTGGAGAAAATGACATTTCAGCTAATAAGTGAGAAAGATCCAGCAGTGAATAGAATGTGTGGGCATGTGGGTGAGCATTTCAGGGAGAAGGAAAAGCATGTGGCAACACTCCGAGGTCAATAAGAATTGATCATGAACTTTAGAACTGGGCAATGCTCAGTACAGCTGGAGCTGCTAAACTATTTCTCTTCTAGTGGCTGATTGTTTTAAACAGAGTCAAATCTCTGTTTAAAAATTAAATCATAGAAGCACAAGATATCAGTTGAACCTCATCTGATAACACTTGGGGAATGGAGAACTTTACCAAAAACATTGCACTACTTTAACAGGTGTTGTTCTATGTGCTAAGGGTTGTGAGCAGATCTGTAGGCAAGGTGGCTAATGACATACATTCATCCCTTGCAGTATACATGTCCCCAATCCATTCTATTTTAGTGAAAACAAAGATCACAGTAACAGAATACCAATCTGTATGAATACTAACCTATTTTTCTCTTGAGCCAGTAACAAAATAGTAGGGCCACAGTGGCAGGACAAAGGGTGCCAAGCAGCCCCTCAATGACTCCTGAAGTAAGATGACGATCCCTTTTGTCCCTGACAGGCACTGAGGGGAGAAACCTGTGCATGAGCAGGTGAAGGAAGGTCTTGGGTTTGGAGAGCAGACATCTTGGGTGTGGGTTGTGCCCAAGGTCTGCTGCAGGGACTTTCAGCTTGTCACGCTGATGAAAAGGAAAGAGAAGCACCCAACCTTCACATCCTCCCACCCCTCAGACACATGGCCCGTGACAGCACCATCTGAAGGATCCCCATCTTTGACAGCACACCACCAGAAGCACTGTGGGGTCAGTGAGCCTCTCCCAGGGTGCTGGGAAAGAGACATTGACCAAGGCAGTTCCACAGCCTGAGCTATACCTGTGAAGTTGAGTGCCACTGCCTCACTGCGCTGAGTCCTCAGGCCATTGTCAGCCTCACAGGAGTAGTTTCCAGATTGTTCTGTGGTCAGGGAGAGGTTGAAGGATGCTCCTCCTCCAGAGGGCGCTGAGCTACTCCCCAAGGTGACATCCTCATGATAAAACCAGTAGAGGATTGGGGGAGAGCCTCTCAGGGCCTCACAGTGAAGCTCCACCACATCCCCCACCATAGCCTGGGCCCTGGGAGTGCTGAGGGTGATGACAGGGCGAGACACTGGAACTGACAGAGATAGTGGACTGTCAGAAAGAGTCTCTGATGATGTGACAGACTCATAATACCTGCCTGCAGAGGCTCAGCCCCACTGAACTTCCTCAGTGTGCCCCAAGGAATGGCAGAGCCCAGTTTGAGACCTGCTGGCCTTTATGAGGGTAATGGAACTTACTTCTGACAGTGATGCTCACCAGTCCACTGAGACTGGGGCCATAGCCATTGTCAGCTGCACAGTAATATTGTTCAGCGTCGCTTTCCCTCACTGTAAGGATCTCAAACTCCGCTGTCAGTGAACGCTGGGTCTTTGTTTCTAGGTTTACACCCAAGACCCCTTTGTACCAGAGGAAGGTGATGTCTCCTGTGCCCTTAGCAACCGAGCAGACGAGGACCAGCTTATCTCCCTCTATCACTTGTCCCCCTGGGGGCCGGGTCTCCAAGCTCACATCAGAGACAGGGAATCCTGCATAAACACAAGATGACATAGGAAGGCTCTGAGTAGGGAGAGTTTCAGGGACAGAGAGTAGGTGTGACAGTTCTGAAAGTAAAGGCCACGGGTAAAGTCAATGATTTATACAGTTTAATCGGGGGAGGGGGTGGGATTCTGCTGATTTGGAATCAGCATTGGTTGGGTTGATGGTGGTAGGGTAAGAAAGACAACATAATATTGCCCTAAAGGATTGGCATCCCCTCCCTCCCTAGGATGACATACCCTGATTTCATTTTTCAAGGCACAATAGTATAGTGATTACAAGTCCAAATTGTAAATCAAACTGCCTGGTGTGAATACTGGTTTCAACTCTTACTTGCTGTGCATGCTTCATCAAATTACTTAACTTCTCTGAGACTCAATTTCCCATCTGTAAAATGGGGATGGTAGCCATAGTTATCGCCTGTAGTGGTGAGGGTTCAATTAAACACCATATGTGAAGTTCTAGAACGGGGCCTGCTGCCTATGAACTGTTCAATGGGTTTTGTTGTGATGGTGGTGGTTCAGTTTCACTAGTGTTGAATTTTTAATAATTCTTAGGAATCCCAGCCTTCCAGGGGTATTAGATGTTTGCTTTATGGCTCATTGTTGTCTGAGAATGGGAGAGGATGTCAGAAGTGTCCCCCCTGACATGGAATAGCATGGGTGAAAGTCACAAAACACTCTCTCTTTTCTTTTTATCTTTCAAAATCAAGCCTCAACTTCTCTTCCACAATCCCTTCTCCAATAACCTATTCCACACACTTCTTCCACAAAGCCTCTCTTACCACTTTAGTCAGATTTCTCCCTTCTCTGAAGTCTCTATTGACAGTCAGCCATGTTCAACAAAACATCACCTATTTCACGCTAGTTGTTGAAAGTGCTGGATGAGCATCACCTGTGGTCAGAGACCAAACATTATGCAGCTAATTCGCCCACATCCTCCAGCACAGTGAAGATATATGGTAACAGTTTCTGAGATACTCTTCTGTTTGCTGAATGAAAACAGCAGGGACAAGGGAAGATCACTTAAGAACCCTGACAAAGACAGAAACTCAGGTGCATCTCTCGGACAGCTTCTATTCTTGCAGAAGCAGCACCCTACAGATGGGGAGGAGCAGCCGCCTGCCACTGCCCATCCGTATGACCTTGGATGACATTGTCTGTGCTTCACACCAGTAGGACCCTGAGTCTTCTTTCCACATGGTGGCAATCTGGAGCTGTGGGGAGCTGCTACAGCCCAGCCTCTGGGCCCAGCCATCTCTGAAGAAGCAGAACTGGAGCTGAGCCACTGGCTTCTGTGGAAGGTGATGGGCCTTACAGGTGAGGGTCACTGGGCTCCCCTCTATGGGCCTTGATGGCTTGGCTATCAGAAACAGCTCTAGAGAGAAGAATTAAACACAAATTCCAGGGCAATGGGGTTCAGAGTTTCTGGTGAGAGGTACTTTTTGTTCTCAGCCCTTGCAAAGAAGATGCAAAGCCACAGCCAGTTGGACAAACAGACCACCCCTCATATAACCACCACAACCCCCCAAGGTGCCTATGGCTTTCCTCTGGTACGAGCCCACCCTGTTCACCCCAGCACATCTGTCCCTGTGCAGCAGCATCTCCTATCAGAAGGCAACCCTTACCTTTGACTTGGATCTTATACTTCTTGAAATTTCTATCTGTGAACTAAAAACATCTTTCTCAGAGCCAGCACCATTGGCATTGGAGACGGTGAAGTGTGAAGTTTTAGAAAAAGTGAATATATTTCTTTGTTCCTTGTTGTAAGCCATGTTGGTTATTTTCTTCTGTTCCCTTTCCCCTGCACCTCAGACTCACACTATCTCTTTCAAAGACAGAATAAGGAACCTGGAGGACCAGTCAGTCTGGGAAAGATATAGAGGAGCTTAATGCCTTCTTGGCTGACTCTATCCTGCCCCAATTTTTGCTATTCCTATTGGAAAGAAAGGGATGCACTTGCCTGGACATGCCCTGCACCCTCCATTCACACAGCCCAGCTCCCTTGATCTGGGTCTTCTATACAAACCTCTTTAGAGGCTATGATATAAGGAACAAATTTAACCCATACTTTAAACCTCAGGAATGTATCCTTTTGGAACTTAGAAGCTCTTTTCGGATAAATAAAGGTGGTTAAAATTGTGTTCTGCTCTCACTTCTTTCCTTATCCCTATACCTGCCTCTCTCCCGGGTTGCAGCAGCCCATGAAATGTCACAATCCCCAATTGCACTGGCTCTTTGGGCATTTGTATATCCAATCCTCAGGGACCCTGCCTTTTGGCAAATTTTAATAATTTTTCTAAGAGAAGGTTCTTTTTTCCTCACCAGATGAAAATGCCAAGTGCTCTGGATCACTGAGGGGTGATTTCTCATTCGATATCTATAATCTCCAAACTTTCCTACTGGAAAAACTTTAAAACTTTTCCCTGGAAACTTTTAAACATTAATTCCACCCATAGTACCAGAATGTTTGCTCTATCCTGGGGCATCGAATACCCTGTACCTCAGAGTCACTTGCTCTCCAGAGGACTAAGGAGCAGCAGTTTTTGGAGCTGAGCAGGGAAGGGAATAAAAAAGGTATTTAGGCACCTGTAACCCATTCTTCAGAATGGGGCTGGGGTGGAGATGAAGTAGGAAACCTGACCGGGCTGATTACAAGGGGCCTGGAGCTCAGCCTTGCAGGTCAGAGCATGTTTCGAATAATTCTCTGGCAGCAGAGACTACCTGGTGGCAGAAACTTTGCTTCTTCATCCTTGATATGGCTTTGGATTTCTGAGATTGGGCACTCGGGTTTATGGGTAAAGGTTAGACCAGGCACAAAGCATGCATGACATTGACACAAGGCATGAGTCAGACTTGGACAAACATATGTGAGGAACCCAGGAGGTGAGGCTGATTCCGGTCTCTCTAGTCCCAGGAATTCTTGATCCTGTGTTCCCCTGCTGCACTTGCAGTCTGTGTACCTGAGGTGGCAGGACAATTTCTTGCAACCCTGTGATTAGTATTTTATGTCCAAGAGAGAAGTTCTCACATATATCAGATTTGAACATACTGTAGTGAAATTTTCCTTGTGAGGGGAAAATTTCCAACTCTCTACCTCTGGTAGAGGTAAGACTTTGAATCAGGATCAGAATGATGAGGTAAGTTTGCGTAAACCAGAGTCTGAGACAATGTGCTGGGGTAACAATTGTGGCTGCAGAGTGAAGCTAAAAAATAGGAAGGAGGCAACAGTATTACTTCTTATCTCATATGGCCCAAGGATTGACTGTAATGTTGTTTTCCACGGATGCGTGATTTCATCCTTTCCTCCATCACCCCTGGTGGAGCACCCAGCTGAAGAGCACACAGGACCTGCAGCCCCTGAGGCTGGGAGGACAGAGATTCTTCTCACATGAATCTTCAGTGCCTTCTGCCTTCCTTGTGCAAATGGCATCTTCCTCTCTATGCTGGGACTTCCCAGAAATAAGACTGTGTTCCTTAGAGGGTCAGAGCAAGACCTGCTCTCCCAGCTGAGCAGACACATGTCAGGTGCATGGATTGGTGTGAACACAGAGCAGCCCGGGCCAGCAGCCACTCATGTTTGTACACCTCAGCAGCAGTTGCCCGGATGTGTCTTGGACAGGCAGGGGCTGCTCAGATGGCCATCACAGGCCTCCTGTGCTGATCTGAGTAACAAGATACCCACAGACCGTGAAGAAGAAAGGGAAATGCAACTCACCGATGGGTTCACAGAGTGGACCTGGGAGGGAATTCAGCAGAGATCAGTACAGAGCAGCAACTTCCACACAGCCACAAAGTTTAACTCTTCTGAGAGCTTTCCGAACAGTACGCCCTCTTTCCCTCGTGCCCTCCCCACGTCTCTACCTTCCTCTTTCCCTCCTCTTCATCCTTCACTCTTTCTCTCTCCTTTCCTCATCTGCCTCCCTCCCTGCTTATCTTCCTCCTTCTTCCTTCACACCTTCCTTCCTTCCTTTTTTCTCTCTGTTGCTTTTCCTTCATTCCATATCACCCACAGAACACCCGCCTACAAAACAACACATGGTTCTTTTTTATGATCATAAAGTAATTTCCAATAGCTTCTTTCACCTGTAATTAGGAGATGATGCCTTTGTTCTTAACTACCTAGCAGCTCCCTCTTCAAGCCCCTTATTCCACTCCCACCTCCTCCTCTCAAAGTCTTGATGATCTAGCTCTAGACTCACTGCCTCATAGTAACAATGGAGTCAGGCAGGAGGGATGCAAGGACTCAAAGCAGGGGGCCCCTTTGTTTACCAACTTCAGGTCATAGGAAATTTAGGACCAGAGAAAGAATTCCGATTCCACCGAAGAGTCTCTCCTATCCCAAGGATTTGACCATAACAGTATGGCATAGTGTTTAAGAAGGGAAAGTTCTGGAGAAAATGCAGGCTTTGTAGCTAAATAGCATAGATTTGAATCCTGGCTCTTCTCTTAAAAGCTGTGTGACCCTGGGGAAAATGCTCCACCTCTCTCTGCTTTAGTTTCCTTTCTTGCATAATGAAGACTATAACAGTAATAACAGTACCTACTTCATAGAGTTTTTATGAAGATTTACTAAGTTGATACCCATAAAGTGCTTAGAATAATGCCTGGAATTTACTTAGCATTCAGTAAATATTGCCTCATTATTATCTATTTTAACCCATGTTTAATCTGAAATACCTACTTTTTTAGGTTAAATGTTTATTTGAATAATTAGTCCCTTGGGTAGAAAGAGAGAGTCAGTGGAGGCTAGCATAAAAATTGCAGTTTAAGTATTCATTCACACAACAAATAATTTTGAGTGCTTACTATATGCCAGGCACTGTGCATGTCGGTGACAGGAGTGAACATGAATGACAATCTCTGCTGTGAAATAATTTACATTATATGGGGAGAGAGCCAATTTAAAAATAAGTATATAATATGATTTCAGAGGATAATTGGTGTCATAAGAAAAATAAATCAGAGAAATAAGAGTATCTTAGGATGGTCTTGGCTACTTAGATAGATCCTAATTCCGAAACTTGAATGAAATCAGGAAGCAAGTCTTCTGAATATTTAAGAAAGAGCATTCCTGGCAAAGAAAATAACAAATGTAAGGACCTTGAGGAGGGAATGAGCTTGTCCAGGAGGGAATGGCTTCAATGGGTGGAGCCTATTGAAGTACCTGGAGCTTAAATAGGTGGGGGGACAGTGGGAGGTATTGGGATGTGAGAAGTAGGCAGGGACCAGTCACAGGGGGCTTTATGGACTTGAAAACAGCTTTGGATTTTATTCTGAAGTGATGGGCAACCATGGACTGTTCTGACTTCATTTACATTTATAAGATCACTCTGACCCGTGAGGAAAGTAGACAATAGAAATGCAAGAGAAGCAGGGAGAACATCAGTGAGAATTTAGTCTAGGAGAGTAAAGATAATAGCTCAGATTAGGCAGTTCTGGTGCTGTGAAGTGGTTGGGTTTCAGTATAAATTTTAAAAGTAGGATCAATAAGAATTGTTTATGAATTGAATAGACAGTGTCTTAAAATAAGAGAGCGGAATTACGTATAACTCCCAAATTTTTGGTCACAGCAACTGAATGATGATGGTGACATTTACTGAGATGGAGAAGTGGGGAGGAGAAATAGTTAAGTTTTGTGGTGGTGGTGGTGGTACAGGTGGAAGATCAAGAGATCTGTTCGAGTCTAAAATGCCTACTAGATACCTGAATGGCTTACATGAAAGGTGCTCAAAGGAGAGGTCAAAGTTGGAGAAATAAGCTTGAGTTTAAGCTTAAAGTGTGATGTAAATTGACAAAGTTATATAACTTGTGCAAATGAGTATGGGTGGAGAAGAGAAGTCGAGGTATCAATGTTGGGAAGGTCCAACATTTTGTGGTCAGTATAGAATCCAGCAAAGATTCTGAGAAATAGCAGGTATTGAATTAGAAAGAAAACCAGCAAAGAAAACCAGTATTCAGGAAGCCAAGAGAAAAAGTGTTTTCAGAAGAGGGAGTGATCAACCATGTCAAACACCCCCAAGAGGTTGGGTAAGATAAGAAATGAAAATTGACTCCTGGATTAGCAGCGTGGAGGTAGTTGATGATATCAACAAGAGGAGTTTCAGAGGAATGTGGGGATGAAAGATTGATTGAAGTGGGCTCAAGAAAGGATGAGGAAGAACTACAAGGACCTAAAACAATGTAGCAAATGCCAGGGTACAAGAGGAGTTTCAGAGGAATGTGGGGATGAAAGATTGATTGAAGTGGGCTCAAGAAAGGACGAGGAAGAACTACAAGGACCTAAAACAATGTAGCAAATGCCAGGGGTTAGGACTGGAGGAAGACTTGACCATGCAGGGATTGAGGGCATGAGGGAATGTTTGAAGTGATGGAAATGTTCTACTGTATTTTGATTGTGCTGGTGGTAGCATGACTCTTAACCTTTGTCAAAAATCATAGACAGTGTTTCAAAAAAGGTGAATTTTAGTGTAATGCAAATTAAAAATGAATTTTAAAGAAAGAAAGGACGTGAGGAAGTAAAGCAAAAGTAGCAACTCTCTGAAAACTTTATAGAGGGAGACAGAGAGATGGTTCAGTGAATGAAAAAAAACACCATCAGGTCATGTTTCTGTTATTTTATGATAAAAGATATTGTAGCCTGTTTGTATATTTATGGGAAAAATCTAAAATGGAGAAACATTTTGGCGATGGAGAAAAGTTTTTGAGAAAGCAAGAGGGTCTTAGACCCCATGCACGAGTGGAGAGTCCCGTCTTTGATAGAATGAGGGACAATATATTCATGGTGGGGGAGAGAAGGCAGAGTACATGAATGCAGAGACGAGTGGGTTGGTGCACACAGCAGTAGAAAGATAAGAAACCTGTTTTCCGGTTGCTTTTATTTTCTCAATAAAATGTGAAGCAAAGTTATAAATTGAAAGTAGCATGGGATAAGTCTGAGGTGGAAGGGGAAGGTATGAAATTGTGGTCACCGAGAGTGAGAGAGCACGGACCATGAAAATGTGGGAGGATTCCTGGCACTGCTGATGTCCATCCACAATTTGGGCTCCTACATTTAAAGGAAGATAAGCAAGCAGGGTTATGCCTTTTGTTTAAAGTCACATTCAGCTGCTTAGGCAGAGTGTGAAGCATGTAGGGAAGTGTGTTAATCAGGAGAGTGCTGTGGGGAAAGAGAGATGAAGGTGTACCTGAGGGAGTGTCATGGTGCTGGACTGCAGAATCTAAGCTGGGTGCAGTGAGAAGTGAGCACAGGAAGTGTAGTAACCAGTAATTAAAAAGTAATCCTGGGGAGTTGAAGACATGCTGGAAATAGAGTGCTACAGAAAGTGAGCTAGAAATGCCGCGTAGCGGAGAGAATGGATCCTGAAAACAAAGGAGTGATAAGTTCCAAGGTTTGACAGCAGAAATGGGGAGCCAAAGAGAAACAGAAGGAAGTAATGTCAACAGTAAGAAGGGCAAGAAAGTGAGAGACCAATTTGTTGTTTGGATTTTTTTTGTGGCTGTTGAAAACACCAAGAACAAAGACAGAATAAATGGCAGAAAGGAAGACAGTGAACACTTCCTATGAGATGAAAACTGAAATAATAGTGTTCTTTAAAAATTTGGCTTTCCAGTGTCTCCCCCTTCCTGCCTGTCTGAGCCCTCTGTTGGAAGTAGAGATCTGAGCATCCCTGAGCATTGCTGGGCATCAACTGGCACAAGCTTAGTCCTGAGCCATCCCCACAGCTCTTCAGGAAGTGAGGTCCCTGTGCAATGATTCCGTACCCTTCCATACCCTTCCCTGAGTTGTCCAACTCACCACAGATCAGCAGCAAGAGCCACGGCAGCATGAGGACCAGGTGGGAGATGTTAACTGCAGATGCCGCAAATCAAAAAGAGAATTTACCTCCAAGTCAAGAAGCAGCAGCTTGTCAGAGATTTGAGGAAGTCAGGATCGGAAATTACTCTTCAGTACACATTTACAGAAATAGAAGAGAGAGAGAGAAAAAAAAGAGCCCTCCAATGGCCAATCTCCATGTCCTCTCATATGGAAGCTGAGAAAATTAAAGATGCTCCTTTCTGTAGTTTGGTTCAGTTACACAATCTGGAAATAGTACAAATCAATATATGGGGGCCTTCTTTGAGAACTGAGATCTCAAAGGCAGTTTCCCAAAGGCAGTTTCTGACTTTGATGAGTCTCATCAAATTCCTGCTGAAATTCAGAGAGCATACATTTCATCTTTGATAAGTATGTTTTCTTGACTATACCTAATCAGCACATCCTTCTTCTTCAGCAGCATACAGTGTAGTCACACCATGCAAGCATGTCGTGAAGCCAGTGACTGACAAGGATGTCACCCAGGTTATGTGTAGTGTCTGAGGGTTGTTGCAAGTGATGATTTGTACAGGGTCAAGCAGTCATACAGATACAAGCTTCCGTATTTTAACTTTCAGTGTACCAGTAAATGAGCATGAAATAGCTGAAAAACAAAATAAAGGGAAATTATAATCTGGGGGATGTTTGAAAATGAAATACAGGAAATAAGCATACACAAATTAGCTTCTGGGCACTTCAGAGAGTTCATCATTTGCACTAACTCTGACATTTGTGACATTGCTCCACCTGTCACCCCAAATCAAGATATCTATAATCTCTCCCATTGCTTTCTTTAGCACATTGGGTCTACCAGCTCTTGACATATGAAGATTGTATGTTATTCAGATTACGGATCAAGGGAAAATAAGCCATCTTAATTTTCAACATTTCTTGAATCTTTGAGTATCTAGGATTAAGAATAGCCAGATAATGTGTGGAAACTAAGCTATCAGGGGACATGAAAATGTGTTATCCAATAATGGCATCTGAGTTCAGGTATCAAGTCCAGACAGGAAGATTGAGAAAAGGAACCAGTGGTCTCCTCCAGATGTGCAAAACTGGAGGAGAAAGGAAGGGAGCAACATTGGGAACCAGGCTAAAGACCTGGGGAGAATGCTGAAAATAAGGTGGTGTGCTCACAGCTTCGTTTATTGGCTTGGAAAAGCCTGTGTGGGGATGTTTGCCTAGTTTGGAGTTTCAGGACCAATGCAGAAAATTCTCCGTGAGAATCTGGAGCCATAAAGCTAGGGTGTAAGGCTGTTTTTGCATACACTGTGCTGTTTCACATCTCTTTTTTCTGTGCTCACGTGTGTCCTGCTCCAGGGCTTTTACAATTTCTTCCGATTAAAATGTGTCTTCCCTCTTTCTCTACAGATTTAAAGGCTGTACATTAGTTGTTAAGCTCTCTCACACTATTACTTTTATAATGTAGTAGTTGATACATACATACCAAAAATGTTATATGAATAAAACTTATAAAATACTAAGATAAAAGACCATGAACCCATCCACCATTCAGTTTAAAAACTAGATCATAGCTAACTATTGCATCTACCAACCCACCCCCTGTATACTCTCCAGAGGTAACCACTATTCTGAATATTTTGTTTATATTTCTCTTGCTTAAAAAATATAGCCTATTGAGGTATAATTAATGTATGTTGAAGTTAACCCATTACAAGTGTACGATTCAATGATTTTTAACAAAGGTATACACTGGTCTAAATACAATTATAGTCATGATCTAGAACATTTAAATCATCTCAAGAGATTTCCTTCTATGCCTTCCCAGTTATCCCAAACCTCCCAGAACTAGGTAACTGCTGATGTGCTTTCTGTCACTATAGATTAGATTTGTCTTTTCTAGAGTTTCCTACAGATGAAAATATACAATGCTTACTCTTGTGTTTCTAAGTTATTTCCCTCAGCATAATATTTTTGAGATTCATCTGTGTATCATGAATAAAGCTGCTATAAAACATTCATGTACAAGTTTTTAGGTAAATTTTTAAGAATGGAATTATGGAGTGTGAATATGCTTAACTTTTTAAGAAACTGCCAAATTATTTCTTCAAGTAATTATACTATTTTACATTCTCACCAGCAATCTCAGTTTCAGTGTTTCCACATCCTCTCCAACATTTTTATTGGTCATTCTGATACATGTGTAGAGATATCTCTTGAGTTTAATTTGCATTTTTCTGAATGTGCTTAATAGCCCTTTACTGTATATGTTTTTTCTTCCTTGAAATGTCTTTTCAAATAATTTTTCTATTTCTATTAATATTTATATTTATAGGGCTTTTTGTCCAAATATTGAATTGTTGTACAGTCTGGGAAAGAGTTTTTTTGTCAGATATATACATCATTGACATTTAAGGTTAGCCTATGAATTGACTTCTTATTTTCCTGACAATGCCTTTCAAAGAGTGATTTTAAGATTTTTTTTTTCGTTAAATTTTTATTTTGTCAATATACACTGTATATGATTATTATGG